TAAAAGGAAGTTATTAAGAAATAATCATTTCCGGGACTAGCAGATGGCATAATGGTTATGTTGTGGAACTCCCACGTGGTCGACAGCAGTTCAAGTCCTAGGCGGAATGGCTTAAAACCTCCGCCGGGTGCATGTGCGTGCCCAAGATCCCAAGAGGAAGATGGGGGAGAAGGGATTGCGGTGTGGATATCCCCCCCCCCGGGGGGGTGATTTCTCATTTTCTGTCTCTTTGTCTCTCTCTGCCTCTCTGGTGAGCACATGCGTCCTATAGCAAAAATGTCTCTTAAAAAACAAAGGAAAGAAAGAAAGAAAATAATAATCATTTCCATCAAAGAAATGAGTTTGTTTACCTTAACTTTAGACAAATCCACCCCAATGTCATATTGATGGATATCTAAATAAATCCCCGCTTTGGCAAATCACTCTAGTTCCTGGTATAGGTGGTATGAGTCTTCCTTTTTTAAATAATTATTTTATTTAACTTTATGTTTTAATTTGACCAGAGAAGGACAGAGTAAGAGAGAGAGAAAGCAGGAAAACAAGCCTCCAGGTCCGGGACCTTGGTCAGCCATGTGGGAGTCCAGTGCCCTTAACCACCACACCACCTGCCAGCCCTAACCTGATGGTGTGATTATTTCTTATAGCCCACCACTAAAACCAGGAGTCTTCAGGACCACCAGATGATATAATGCTTAAGTTGCTGGACTCCCACATAGTCGATCACTGTTCAAATCCTGGACCCGGTGGCTTAAACTCACACCGGGTGCGTGAGCATGCGTGCCCAAGATCCCAAGAGGAGAATGGAGGAGAAGGGACTGCAGTATGGCCATCCCCCCTGTGGGGTGATTTCTCACTTTCTTTCTCTTTGTCTCTCCAGTAAGTGCACATGCTCTATAGCAAAAATCTCTCTAAAAAAAAATAAAACTAGGAGTCTTTTAGAATTTTCACCAAAGAAAGTTTTCCAGAATCTTCATCTTCATAACTCACCAATTATTGCCTAGCTTAAATCACTGAGATAAATTTAAGGGAGAAAAAAAAAACAAAAACGAAGTATAGCCTTCAAAGAAAAAGAAAGCAAGCAGCTCACCTAACTGAGGGGAAAGGATTATGGACAACAGACCCCAAAGTAGGCTCCTCATACCAGGAAAAAAGGGGACCTGAGGCCTAAACTCAAAGCTACAACACTTAGCTGGGAAAACAAAAAAGAAAAACAACCCAGATGATTGTCAAGGCAAATGATTGTCAAAGCAAACCAACCAACCAAAAACATGACTTCAAACATTTGCCATTGAACAGAATATGTAAAGAAAATGACGTCTAGGTAGTAAACTATTTAAATTTTTTTCTTTTTTTATTGTATTTCTTATTTATATTTAATCATGGTACATCTTTATAGTACAAAGCAGCTATGCAGTGCATGCCAGTCAAATCAAAGATAGTACCAAATACATCTTCCTCAACAGGTAACTCTCCATTCTGTGTCTGCTAAATGATTTTTGTCCTGAGCCCCTCTTACCCACCTCCAAGAAGTCCAAGTTCTTAACATGTGAGGAAAGGGGTCACTGAACAGGAAGTTAACTTTTCAGAACTGACATGTGAAATTCAGTCTAGCCCTCAGCTAAAGAGAACAACCCAGTTTCAGTTAAAAGTCCACTTTTAACTTCTACAGTCAAAAGAGTATTCTTTGGGCCCTATTTTTACTTTGAGAACTGTAGCCACAAGAAGCCACCTGTTTTTCCACCAAGTGTTCAGAACTCTCTTACTCTGGGTTTCACCTAACGGATACCTAACCAGAGATTAGCTTGTGAATGGGGTCATTCCTGACTTTCAGTTCTGAATTCTCCACCAGGCTCTTGAAAATGGGTCTCCTAACTCTTATTTGCTCTATTAACATATTTTATATGTATTCCTTGATTTTAAAACAAGAATACTTTTTTTAGAAAGATTTTTGCCATGGGGTGTGTGGCTTGCTGGAGAGACAGAAAGACATAAAGCAAGAAATCACCCTCCCCAGGAGGGATGGCCATGCACAATCCCTTCTCCTCTATTCTCCTCTCAGGATTTGGGCACACACATATATGTGCTCGGAATGAATTTTAAGCCATTGGCTCTGGGACTCAAACCACAGTCACACTCAGAGTCCAGTGACGTAACCATTATACCATCTGCTGGTCCCAAAACAAGAACACTTCTGATACACTTTTCCTTGGGAGAAAATAACCTGACCACCTCAAGTGGTCTTGATTCGATCAGGATTCACCGAGATTTTAGTACAGGAAATTAAATAAAATTGGCATTGTGATGGCGTCTGATAGAAATGGTCAGCAAAAGTGTAGAAAATGTGCCTGTTTTAAAAGGGGCCAGGCCACCAAACCTGGAAAATTTGCTCAAGGAGACGGGTGTGTGAACGCTCATACCAACAAGAGCGTGATCTTTCCTAAGGCAGGAAGAGGTAGATGGGCTGAATCTGAAGCGACTTCTGACTCAATAGAAGAAGCTACCAGATTGTCCAAAACATGTGCTGTTTGGTTTGCACATCACAAAGGTGGTGAGCAGTTCCTGAAAGTGTAAAGACTACATCCCATTTTGGGGGAGAACTGTGTACTTGGCCCCTCCTACATAAAATTGCAAAATTTTCATCCTGACACCTGCAGACCACCTCTCCCATCTCTTTCCTACAGTATCAGTGGGCTAACGCACGCAATCTTCTGCTTCCGCTAGTCCCGCACAGACACGTGCACACCGAAGTGCGTGGTCTTTCAATGAGGTCTTTGAAGATACTCATTGGCTGCGATAAAACTCTTCAAGGCCTGAAGGAAGGGTGCTAAGAAAATACTGCAATCGGGATAAAAATAGAAAGCTTACACACCGTCTACCATGGGTACAAGCCTACCGATCAGCCCCAGCAGAGGAGGGTAAATAAACCCAGGGTTCCTTCTCCCTGTGTTTTAGTACAGTACACTCAAGGCTGAGGCACATGGAAGGAGTAGTAAGTTCTCTGGTCCATTAAAAATGGATACTTGGATCCTCTTGTATATGAACAAGTATCTGTTTTAAAAAGCTGCACCTAAGTTATGCTTTCTAAATTGGTCTTTCAAAAGTCTAAAAAACAGGGACCAGCAGTTAGCGTAATGGCATGTTGCTGGACTCCCATGTAGTCGCCCACGGTTCGAGTCCCAGACCTGGCGGCTTAAACTCAAGCTGGGCGCGTGTGCCCAAGATCCCCAGAGGAGAACGGAGGAGAAGGGATTGTGGCGTGGCCATGCCCCCTGGGGGGTGATTTCTCGCTTTCTGTCTCTCTGTGTCTTTCCGCGTGGTCTTTCAATGAGGTCTTTGAAGATACTCATTGGCTGCGATAAAACTCTTCAAGGCCTGAAGGAAGGGTGCTAAGAAAATACTGCAATCGGGATAAAAATAGAAAGCTTACACACCGTCTACCATGGGTACAAGCCTACCGATCAGCCCCAGCAGAGGAGGGTAAATAAACCCAGGGTTCCTTCTCCCTGTGTTTTAGTACAGTACACTCAAGGCTGAGGCACATGGAAGGAGTAGTAAGTTCTCTGGTCCATTAAAAATGGATACTTGGATCCTCTTGTATATGAACAAGTATCTGTTTTAAAAAGCTGCACCTAAGTTATGCTTTCTAAATTGGTCTTTCAAAAGTCTAAAAAACAGGGACCAGCAGTTAGCGTAATGGCATGTTGCTGGACTCCCATGTAGTCGCCCACGGTTCGAGTCCCAGACCTGGCGGCTTAAACTCAAGCTGGGCGCGTGTGCCCAAGATCCCCAGAGGAGAACGGAGGAGAAGGGATTGTGGCGTGGCCATGCCCCCTGGGGGGTGATTTCTCGCTTTCTGTCTCTCTGTGTCTTTCCGGCGAGCTCACGCGCCCTATAGCAAAAAGAAGAAGAAAAAAAGTCTAAAAAAACAGACTCCACTTAAATACGTTTCTAGATAGCCACCAGACATCAAATAAATCCTCACGAATTCTGGCTTTCCTTGCTGGCTTTTAGTTGATTTACAATATTGAAAGCATCATGCAGGAAAGGCAGGACGGTCTCAGTACGATTTTTAAGGAAGTTTCTCTGCCCACCCCTGTATTTGTTTTGTGAGCAGGGAAGCGGGGAGCCAAGGCCCCTGTGTACTCACCACGTCCACCCCTGCCCAACGCCGCTGCTGGGAGGTTGGAGCTCTGACCACAGAGGAGGGCCCCCTGAGAGCACCATCTCCCGAACTGAACGCCTTTTCATAAAGGCAGAGGAACTGGGGTAAACCGCACTGTGACCCTCCCACCTGGGAAGAAGGCCTATTTGTTCCGGAAGGCAAAGCCTGGCCCGTTTAACCAATTGCAAGCAGTTAATATAAGCGGCAAAAAAAAGAAAAAAAAAGAAAGAAAGAAAGGAAAAAAGTTCGTCTCTAACGGTAAAGCTAGTCAGGCGGATTTTTCCAGAGTCCCGGATCCTAAAAGATGTTACCTGGATGATTCCTCACCTGTCAGTTAACCTGAAAACACCTGATCCTCTCTCTGGGGTGCTTGCCTGGGGAAAACGATAAGGCTGCCGGGTCGTGCCTCCACCTTCAAAACTTTCCATGGCTCGCGGGGTCAGGCGCGTTCATTACTGCCTGCCGGAAACGCGCCCCTGAGCTGGGGCCCTTCCAGGAGGGACCCGCGGTCTTCCCCTTCCTGCCGCCCGCCTGGCGTGTGCGGGTCCCGGGGCAGAGCAGGCGCGGCGGGGGG